GTACATTACGATAGGTACGTAGGAATGGTATGATCCTTCATTCCTTTCTTCGGAGCTTCGCATCGTACGTAACGATTCATCGTACGTACGTCCATTGCATTGATTCCAAGAAGTTGTACTTCACTATTTCATGATCCGTGCGAGAACTTGGGCCGCATTCCTGTCAAAGAACTTCTTCCCCAAGAGAGGACTGTGCCTAAGATAGCAAGCTTCCCCTTCTGAATCACAATGCCACAAATTTTTCGCAAGTTAAAGATAGACTTCTTCGGGAGGATCATCTTTGATTTGGGACTCACCTCGTACAGTGAACAACTACTAGTCCAGTACTGCTGGGCACAAAGAGATCCTTTTGGTGTTGGTACAACTACCACCAGCGAAATCTGGAGAGAGGAATCTTCAACACCCAAGCTCGCAAAACTGATCTTTGGTTGTTTAAAACAATACTCGCAGAAGGATAATAACCGTGTTTTCTACAAGGACGACCGGAACCAGGAGGACTAAGATGGATACTTTCTAATTGAAGTACCGAAAAATGTATCTACTAGCTTTTAAGAGCTTCGTCCGGTTGCTTGCCCAGATGATCGATCGACGGGTTGATCGATATATTGGTTTTTGTTTTTTACAAAGATTTGCAGTTTTCCCCCGCTGCGTCGCAACACACGTTGCAGCAACTACAGATTATCACCGAAGGATCGAGGCAGTTCGCAATGATGCTAACGTCTTGCGAGAGCTTGACCCCGCCGCCGGTGCCAGTCTTCTCCCCCCCCGGAGCAGCACAAAACAGCGGATCCAGGTCCCCCTCGATGCCCGTCCCGGCCAGCTCCAGCGTCTCAAGGTTGGGCAGGGAGCGGAGCGACACGCTCGGTGGAATCGTTCCGCTGATGCCGGCGTTGTCGGTCAGATCGAGCGTCCTCAGACTGGGAAGGACCCCGAGCTCGGACGGGACACTTCCGAACAGCGCGTTGCCTCCGAGTCTCAGATCCTGTAGGCTTGGTCCAAGGGCACCGAGTTCCGAGGCCAGGGTCCCGTTGAGGTGGTTGTCCTCCAGATCGATCGCAACGATCTTGTGCTCGTCGTTGCAGGTCAGCCCTTCCCAGTCGCAAAGGCTGACATCCGTCAGGAAGGAGTTCTGGTGCCTCCAGTTCTTGCCCCCGGTGGAGATATAGAACAAAACCATGATGTATTTCTGCATGATATCGTGGCGGGAGGTGGTAGCAACATCCACTGGGGAAGGATCCATGCGAGCCATCCACATAAACGCCTTGAACTGGTCGGTGTGTTTTTCTTCCAGCAGGGTTCGTTCCGAAACGGCAGACAGGAGCTCCTTCAGCGGTTCCTCTTGCGAAGGCGTACCCGCCGGTTGTGCCGCACTGCTTGTACTCGCAGTCGCGCCCGTGCTTGCATCCTGCGCGCCGACAGACTTCCTAGTGGGAGTCGGAGAAGGGCGATCGGTGTCGATGGCAGAGAATGGATCGTGCAAAACACAATTGAGACCGCTCGCATCGCAGCATCCCGTGCAGCAGCTGCACTTCACCTCGGGTGCCGATCCCTTGCAGTCCGATACGAGCTCTTCGAAGATGCGGTGGCCGGAGCTACAAAACACGACATCGATGCTCCCCGCGAAATCGTTCCCGTTTAAAAACGCCATCTCCAGGGACTTCGCGCTTTCCAGTTCGATCGGGACGGTTCCCGTAAGATCGTTATGGCCTGAGCATCGATCGAGACGAGATTTCAAAGAAAAATAGTATGCGCGGTACAAGAAAAGTAACATTAGAATTTTCAACGGATTGGTTCTATCTTCTGTTGCAGAGTGGTTTTTCCAGACGATGTCGTACAAGTACGATACTTACTGAAATCGAGGAACCATAGCTTTGTAAGGATTCCTAGTTCTGATGGTATGTTTCCAGAAAGATTGTTGCCTCCGAGGCTAAGTTTTTTAATACTGCCGCTAAGCACAGTCGGTATTGTTCCTGTCAGGGCAGAAGAAGCTAACGAAAAAATGTAGCAGGTGGTTGTGTAAGAAACAAAAATAGCATTGCACGGAAATTATTAGAATAGGAAAAACGGGTACATCTATCGTTCTTCATACCGGCAAGAAACCGAAAAATACTACGAAACCTTTTCCGAAATCCAGTAACATCAGCTTACCAATCTCAATACTTTCGATGTATTTTAGTCCCAACAAGTCCGCGGGCAAAGACCCCGTCAAGTGATTCTTGTCTGGTGGTTTGCATCACGTTGTGGAATTGCGGGTACAGAATTTTGTGAGGAAAAACGTGAAACGAGTTTTAAAATTTAGTCATCTTCTCCATTGAACATATTCCATAAATAACCAAGCAAAAAACGTACCAAGATCAAGTTCCATAAGAGCACCGAGATTCGAAAGTTCCTCGGGAATTGTGCCCGTAATTTTGTTGAATTCTAGGAGAGGTTGCACATAAATCAATGGAGGAGGTGAATAATCGATGACAAAAAAGAACGAATTCGGGAACGACTCGTTTTCTGAAAGTATCTATCGTCCATCGTACGTACCAAGTCCCATGCGTTCGAGATTGACCAGGAGTCCATAGTGCGAGGGAACCGTCCCGGATATGTCGTTGCCCTCTATCGAAACACGTTCGATGATTGGAATACATACATATATAAATCGTAGAGCGAATCAGAAACATACGGTGAGCAATAGGGAAGAAATCAAGCACGTACACAGAACTGCGTCGTAGAAGAAACGAAAAGCAGCGTTTGCAAAAACTCACCGAGGTTAATCGAGGTCAGCCCGCTGAGAAAGCCGAGTTCTCGGGGAAGGGTTCCGGCGAGACCAAAATCTCCTTTGGGTTGCAAAACACAAAAATAGAAAAAATGTCGTGAGCGCACTCTCTGTACTTCCAAGCTTTTGACACGGCCGTTTGGCCTTTAATTCTGAATATCAGGCACCCGATACTATCCACTCACTAAAATTAAGCTTCACGATGTTTCCTTCGTCGTCACAAAAGATACCCGACTTTCCGTTAGAGTTGGCCCAGAGGCAAACGTCCGTGTTGGCCAGAAACGGTGCGCTGTCTTCGCTGCCGCCGCTGCTGCTGCTGTCGTCGTGGAGATCCTCGTGGGCGGTTTGTTGTTGCCCCCTGGTCGCAAAGTAAAACACGGCCGCAATGTATCGCTGCTGGAAAACAAAGCGGTCGCCGTAAGTCGGTAGGTGCATAGGATCGTCGTCGAGGATCCAATCGAGGGCCATTCGGGCCGGCGAGTGTTTCCAGGAGAGAGCTACCCCGTCGCTCCATTGGACGGCCAGGTTGGCAAAGTGGCGTTCCCGTTCCAAGCGACTTTCCACCCCGCGTTCGTAGGTGGTCGGAGAATCGTGGTTGTTTGGAGTGTTGTGGTTGTTTGGAGTGTCGTGGTTGCCTTCGCCCGAGAACAACCAGGGATCCAAAGGATGCTTATTGGTGTAACTGTGACTGTTCCTCTCGTCCATATCGATACCATTTTGGCCATAGTTAGAATTTTCTGCGGCACTATGGATTATGCTCGATGCTGAAGGGTCGTGAGATTTTCTGTCGAGGATGCTGTCGTCGTCCAAGCGATGCTTTCTGCTACCCTGCCAAAGCATACCGGCCGAAACCAGGACCCCAATCGACAACGCCACAAGGACCAGTCCCCAGCAACGCCATCGCCAGCGACCTGGGCGGTATTTGCGGGTGTTGTTCGACCCGCTTGCCGGGTGGTTATGCCCCCCGTCGCCATCGTTGGCGTCGTAGGGAACACGAACGACGAGAGCGGCATCGTCTGTTTCTCCGAACAAATTGCCGTCGTTGTCGATCTCGTCCGAGAACTGATCTTCGATCGTCTTCTCGTCGAATTCGACGGGAGCAAATGCTTCTTTCGAGCCCGCATCTAACATTCTTTCGGACATCTCTTCGCCTGGGGAGCGAAGCACAGTTGGGTACTTATGTTTGTTCTATCTACCCACTCGTTTTTGATGTATTCAGTCGACTGCTAGGAAACGATGAGATAGCTAGGATTCGATTCTGGTATCTGATATTCCTTGCGGAACAAGCATACGATGAGGTGCTTTCATTTACGATAGTGCAGTCCCGTTCGACCCTTTTGTCGAAAGCACCCGTGCTTTTAACATCATACCACTGATGAATACTTCTAATACGAACGAAAGTCAAATACAATCACCGAAGAATCGGACTTCGGTGCGGATGCCAGCAAAAAAAGGTCGCGCAGAGGGGCTAGCTTTACGTTGCCATTATCAAACAAGATTTGTAATACGACTAAAAGTCGCAACTCGCCTCATTCCGGGGCTAATAACCATTCGGAGTAGTCAAATGAAGTAGTACCTTTTTATGATACGAAACATACACACTTACCATGGATATGTATTTTTCTTCAAGCTCCAACATCCCAACCGGAACAAAAAACCTATCAGTCTGTCTTCCTCCGTTCCTGTTTATCGATTTCTTCCGTGTCGTCTGACGATCGACGATCCATCATCAGAATCACTCAAAAATGATCATCGATACAAAAAATGAGGAAACAAAGCAACAACGACAACAAAATTCTTTTTCCTCCCAACTCTCACACACCACCACGATTTGACGAAGAAGCCCGCAAATAGAATTAACCGGATCCGACCTGTGTATAAAGCGTTGTCATTCACAACTCTAACAAGGCAGTCACTCGCAACTCACGATCGGGAAGGATGGTTAGTAAGACGACAAGGAATTCTACCTGGTATATTCTTCTCTACTTAACAATTCATCGTCTGGACTTCTCGTCGGCATTCCAGTCTATCTCTACTATCAGTAGGAAGGTATATAATACTGCGAAGAAATACCCGGGCCACCATGAATCATGGTCAGCAGTAGGTGTTGCAAACGCAGGAGAGGCCGATGGTGATATCATCGACGTCGAAGTAAAAGAGGAGGAAGTGATAGAACCTCCGAAACCAGAAATCAAGACCCAGTTTTGCATTACTGGCATTTCTCCTCCACTCGAAACTGCCTTAAACGAGGCTGTTAGCAAACTCACCAACGTGACTCTGAAAGAGGCCAACGAGCTGGTTGAAATCGGAGCTGTCTGGGCCAAAATCGATGTCATGACTGAAGATGATGTTCTGGCACAATACGATTCTTCCGGTGAAGAGTTGTACGCGGATCTTCCGCAAGGTTGGGGCAATGGTGACTCGGATGCAGGAACGGGTACAGAGGAGGAAAAACTTGAGGAATACATTGCCAAAATGGAATCCCAACGATTCCGTAGAATACTTTCACCAAGAAAGTTGCAGCCGGGAACTGATCTCAGAATATACCCGAACCCCAGAAGATTCCCAGCATGCTATAGCATTGACGGTAAGAGTCTTCTCTACCAAGACACGACATTCATTGTKGTTGACAAACCACCTATGTTGCCGACCCAGCCAGATGCTAGCAACTATCACGAAAACTGCCCAGGTTGTGCACAAGATATTCTTGGGCCGTTTGAAGATATTCAAGGAAACACCATTCGACGCCCCCTTTTATGTCACAGAGTTGACTCGGTTGTAGGAGGTTGCGTGGTGATGTCAAAGGATAGGAACGGACAACGCGTATTTCAAGAGCTGCAGCGACAGCGCAAGCTGAAGAAAGTGTACCTAGCGGTAACCACGAAACCAGTCCCCCTTGGCATGCATCTGCACTGGATGTGGTCCCCTCAAACACAAAGAGGCAAAGCCGGTGGACCTCCGTGCCAATTGGTAAGCCACATTGCTCCCGAGTCGAGGCGAAAAGCTAGACAATTTTGGACTCGATGCATACTTGAGGTCACAAAGAGCGAGCCTATTACCGTGAACGCAGACGATTATGATCCCGGAGACAAACAGCATTACCAAAACACAATACGTTTGGTGACGGGGAGGAAACATCAGGTTAGAGCACAACTGAGTAGTTTGGGTTGTCCCATCATTCGCGACACACTGTACAGTCCTATGTCGGGCATTACCTTGGGAGACCTGGAAGTGGGTGACGAGGAGGCGCTCGAGAATGCAATTGCCCAATGCCGCGTACCGGAGGAACCAATTGGCCTCCAGGCCCACGCTATATTATTTGGGGGTATCAAAGCCCGAGCCCGCGAACCCTGGTGGGCGGGCAAAAGCCGAAAAACATTGTAAAACACATAAAGAACAGATTACCTAGTGCTCTACTTCTATGCTGAAAATTATGAGGGAATTCAAAATGAACGAAAATATTAGTTATCATCTCCGAGTTTTCATCCTTTTCTGGATTCTTGTGACAGCATATTTCCTCTTTCGTTTCCAGTCTAGTGTTAGGGTCTGTCGCTCCCTATTCCATTCTGTTTTCTCCTTTTCATCACGACGGAATCCTTCAGGGTCTTTCATGATCCGGGCTCCATCGTTCAAGGCGAAAAAGTTGTCCACATAAGTTTTGAGATCTCCCTCAGGTAGCGTCAAACCTTTCAGGCGTGTTGCAACATTCTCATCCGTTGTGATCATATCAACCTTGTCATTAACATTTTTGGAATCTCTCTCTTCATCGCATTGTGTTGCGGTTTCCATGTGTTCGTCATCTTCCTTCTGTATTGTGTTTGGTTTGTCGTGTTCTGTAGCTTGATCTTGCTCAGGAATACTGAATGAGAAACTGAACGCCTCAGTTGCTGACTTCGACTTCTGTTTCTTAGACGCATCATTGTCGTCCAAATTGAATCCAAAACTAAAGGAACTCTTTCCTGAAGACTTGTCTGGATCTTCATCAGTTGCAGAGGTATCTCTCGGTGCTGCAGCGCCCGTGTCCTCTGTCCCCCATGCATCTCGTGCATCCCGAAAGACATTTTCTAGCTTTTCTTGTTCATAAATATCAGGAGCTGGCGAAACCTCCGCACCGGAATCGTTCTCTCTGATGTCACCAGTATGATTCGAGTTCTCTTTGTTGTCCGAAAGATCAGCGTCTTCAATAGAGGAACGAGTTTCTGAGGCACTCTCTTCGTCTCCGCTGTTCGGTTCTTCCTCTTCGGGTTCTTCCTCTACTTCAAATTGCTTACTGGATTTCGCGGTTGGATCGAAGCGTGGCATGATTCCGTACGCGGTCGTGTTCTTACTTTGGGGTACATTAGAGGATTCAGTACTACCCATTGTTGACTTTGTGACATCTCCATTGTTAGGATTGATTGGTTTAGCATCCACCATATCAGGAAAGATACTAGATAAAATATTCAAATTGCTTGTCACATCACCGGTCAAATCAGATTCGAGATTGCCACTTTTCCCATGGTCGTAACCTTCAAAGTTGTCATCGTTCTCATATCTATCGAAGGAAGATGTATCCTCGAAGCCTGCTGCGAATTCATCGGTGCCATGCACAGCCCTCAGTGGTTCATTATTTCTCGGTGAAGTAGAAGACCACCTATTCGTGCCGTCCTCTTCATCATCGCTAGACTCTTCTTCTGTGCTCCACTGGTACTTCCCGTCATCTTTTTGATCATTACTACTAGCTTTGCGCTTTTGATTGAGCAAAATTTCTGTCGTTGACTGACTGCCGTCGTCTGGATTTTGTTCCATCTCTTCTTCCGAATGACTACTATCGCTATCTTCTTCCGACCATGTGTATCGCTCGGATTGTTCCTTCTTATTAATGGATTCATTTGACGCCTCCGTATCACTATCACTATCACTCGTAGAAGAATCTGATGAAGATGCGCTACTAGAAATCACCATTCTGGATTCGTTGTTGTCTTTTTTGTTGGAACCAATTCCTCCGTTGAGACCCGTCTCGCCTCCCGAAAATCGAATATGTACTGCCCGATGCATCATCGGTCCTGGTTGTGAAATGTGCTCGTCCTTCGAGGCGCTGTTGTAGGCAATTACGTTGATCTTGTGTTTCTCCTCTTGTTTTTGTAACTTACCCCGAGCCTTGTGAAAGCGAGACCAACTTTCAACGGTCCAAGGCTTGGTATCGACGTGTAGTGCAGTATCTCCAAATTTCTTTCTGACTCGCAAGCGTCGTGGAATCCGACTTGGTATACCTTCTGATTCCTCAGGTTGTTCTTTCACCTCAATAGAGTCTCTGATTTCATTTGCTCTTTCTCCCGTTGTCCTTTCTCGGCGTTGCCGTCGTTCTTCCTCGAGTCTATCTAAAAAGTGTGGTTTTGCTTTTTCCACAATAAGCTTGCATCCTTTCCATTTCACGTTGTGATACTGCTTGGAAATGATTGAGAGTGCCGAATCGGAATCGTGTTTTGACGAAGCAGTAATGTGCAAATAAGGTCTCGTGCCTTCGTCTTCGTCGCTGCTGTCGCCGTTCACACCCTTGTCTACAATCGATGCAGATTCGATTTCGATTTGGTTAATGGATTTCAGGCGTCGAAAGATATCCCTTGCTGAAAGCCGAGGCGGATTTAGCCCTCCTATGTATATCCTTTCTTTACTAGGTTCCATTTGCATAAGTTCTTCTTGATTGTATGACAATGCGAGATCAATTGGATTTAGTTTCTGATTTTGAGAACAGTTTCACGGTTGTGTCTTGAATTGATGTGATGTTGGGATTTGGATGAGAGATGAGTGATGGTTTCGATTCGGAAAATTCAGTTGTTGGTTGTGGATAACTCGCGCTATTTTCGCACGATCTTGAGAATCTACGGTCACTATGGTATGTAATTTATGTATTCAATGTAAAGTAGTATCGTAGGTTGACGACAAGCTTGACGAGTACGGTACCGGCACGTATGAGGAAACCAGAACAAAAGCGTTGCATGCAACATGCTTTACAACCAGATTATTTTACTTGGCTTTAGATGTGGTCCAAGTTAACAGTTGCTGCCGATCATAGAGTCAGTTCGAACTTTGTGACAACGCGTCAAGAAAAAGCAATGCGGTACCTCTTATGTGCGCTTGGGGTGTGGAGTCTCTTGTGCATCGCACCATCTTCATCCTTCCTTGTGCCGTCTCGATCTGCTCACCCATGGACTGTGAGTCAGAGAACCTTGACTGCACCGCAATTTACTTCCCTTTATGCCAAATCGGGTAAGAAGAAGAAAAAGCCAAAAGGAAATACGATATGTGTGAATCGACAAGCGCGAAGAAACTATGAAATTGTCGACACATTAGAAGCTGGAATTTCTCTACTGGGGACAGAAGTTAAGTCTATTCGAGACGGTAAAATGAACCTTCAAGATGCTTTTGTGAAACCTTCCTCAAATGGAAGGTCGTGCACCTTAATGAATTGCCACATTGGTAAACATACTATGTCAGGGGCTTACTTTCAACACGAAGAGCGACGCCCAAGACCTTTGCTTGTCCATAGGAGCGAGGCGCGGAAGCTCTTGCAAAAGACCGAAACAACGGGAATGACAATAGTTCCTCTCAAAGCATATTTCAATGATGACAACAAAGTAAAAATACAGATAGCTTTGGCTAAAGGGAAAAATGTCAGAGACAAGAGACAGGACATTAAGGATCGAGATCTAAAACGAGAGACTAGTCGAATAATCAAAAACTTCCGAGTGTGAGAATAAAACATTATTGATGAAAGAGACGAGCAGGACTTGAAACCAACGTTTCATGACAGGTCGAAAACGGTTCTTGATTTGTAATCTGTATTGCAAACTCAACACAATTGCTACTTATTTTATTTCTGTGATATGGCTTATTCACAACAGTACTCGATACGTACGATATTTCACTCCTATTATTTTTAAGATTAATCTCTCAATTTAATCGCCCGATACAATTAGGTGCTCCACAAGTGCACTTCAAACTTCCATCTTCCACCGGAAACTTATAATCGTACGTAATCTCTTCCCCAGCTTTAATATCGATGTGAGAAAATATCACGATTTTGTTTTCTTGTCCGTAATCCGTGTCAACAGTGATAACCTTAGCATAAGCATTAGGTTGGCAACAGTGATTCATGAATCGTGCCATGCACCCGATTTTGGTAGCGTCTACGATTCGGTTCAGATCAAGACGGAACATGTAGCAAGATCCTTCACCAGATATCTCGTAGGCTTTTTCACGCGCATCTGCGACACTCTTCCGAATGATTTCACCCATGTATTCAACTATCATGGTGTCCTTCGGAAGATCAACTTTCGTGAAGAGACCCCAGCCATGAATGTGTGAACGCTTTGGGCACAATCGTTGTTCGATCGGGATAGCTTTCATTCCGCGATACATGCGTTGGATTTTGCTTCTATCCGCCTTAATCTCTGTGTCCCTTTTCCTGCCGCCAATTGAATTATTCAGAGCACCCCCATCACTATTCTCTTCATTCTCGGCATTTCGAACCAATGCTCTCGTTATACGACCACTGCCCCCGCTTCGAGTAACAGCACTCATTCCTTCCGTGCGAGCGCATCCACTTGCATTCTCGAGTTTCTTCTCAGCTGCCAATGCCGCACGTCGACGTTGAAGGTCCATAATATTATCAACTGAAGGCTGCATAAAGCAAAAGAGGTATTGAGGAGATGACGGCGTCAATTTTGTCACTACTGCCTCTGTCCCAGGGAGAGCTTCGATCAGCTTTCGAATTTCATTCGTTCCAAACCCAAAGAATTGTGGACCATTCAAACCAAAATACTTTTTGTTACTTCTACGCTCAGTTGGTAGCTTCGAGTAAAGATCATCGTGAGAGAATTCAGAAGAGTTCGTGCTTTCAACTCGTTCCATCACAATATTGTAGGCTTCGGCTGCCGATGGTGCTTTTATCTTGTTCAGTGGGTCGTCACCGGGAGTAATGCTAAAAATTGGATTTCCTTTGGCAGATTTCTCGATCTTCAAAACATACACAGTGCGTTCCTTCGCTTTGACGGTGGACCAGAAAATGCGGGTCGCTGTATATCCAGTAGGCATGATGTAATCTTTCGTATGAAACCCGTCACGATCCTGCTCGATTTCCCCCAACGAATGTACAAGAAGAGCCCCATATCGTGGACACAAAGAGGAGTCATTGGAATCTGTGTCTTTGTCGGTTGCTATCTTCCCTTTTTCCTGCGCAGCTATGAGAGATTCCATCGGTTCGCTGCTTGGATTCTCTACGATATCCTCGGCGCAGTCTCTATGKGCTGCACATAGCACCTGTTTCGACGACGTAAACACCGCACCACAAGCAACAGCGCAAGGAAAATGGAAATTGCAGTTGCAATTTTGCTTGATGCACCCAACCGTTGCTCCGGGTCGACCACACCCAAAACAACGAAGCTGTGAACCTCGAGTCCTTGCCTTTTCCAAGGCATTCAACCTACCACCGGGAGATTCCCAGGTCTCGGAGCTCCAGAGAGCACAAGCAGAATGCACCCACAACCAGTCTCCCATGGGCAAGAGTCGACCGAGTCGACCAATTGTTGGCTTGCATCGATCTGTTGTTCGTTCTTGAATGTCGTCGGCCAAGCCGGCATCATCGTCGCCGCAAAGATGACAGAGACAGCACTCCCTTGGATCACTCCATTTGTGTGTCGTATCAGAATCGCCTAGAATGTGGTTCCAGCCACAGAGCGGCTGTGGAAGCTTGTACGACTTAACCGCACCGTTTCGAACACTTTCCACTCGTGCAGAGGATTGTTTCTTCTCCTCGGGGACGACAACATCAAACACGGTGGCCTGGACACGCGCTTTGATTTTGGGTTCGTGTATCTTTATCCAATCGTCCTTGTTGATAATGTTTCGATTTCTCTCGCATCGTATCGAGTCGAACGTCAGGTCGACCGATCCGCATGCGTGAGGAGCCACAAGCAATTTGTTCACTCTTTCGTACCCCTTGACCTTTTTCTTTGTTTTCAATCCCATCATGCTGCAGGCCACTTTTAACCAGCTTGCCGCAAGCTTTGAAATCATGACGCAGTTTTCGATCCTTCTTGCCGAAAACCCAACGGAATCAAACTGCAATTTATTGGCAATGTGCAGAAATCGAGTTGCCCGCTGACCCATCCATGCCGGTAAATCTTCGTTCTCTTGCCAGAAGCGGTCCATCAGATATCGCGGATCCCCGAATTGCTCTCGAACAAGGTTCATAAAACGGACCCCTTCCAGCACAACCTTCCGATATTCGTCCCTCCATAAATTCCGTGTTTTCCAGTCCACTTGTTCCATCAGCTTTTCTTGGAGTTCCCGCTTGGACATGGGATTGGATCCGGGATCGAACACCAGCCCCTGCGCAACGATCTTGGCGGCGAAATCGGCCATGTGGTCACGAGTCACTTTTCCGTGCGCCTTGTTGACCGTTTGTCTCTTTCGGCAACCGGGGCAGTGGTAACTCGGACCTTTTCCGCCTTCGTCGGCCTCGCCAGCGTTCTTGGCCCCCAGCTTCTGGATGTGGGCCTCTGCCTTCGGATCGCAGCGCGCGTGTACTTTCTTGTTGCAGTCCGTGCACTGGGCCAGGTCGGTGTCTTCGTCCCGCCATATGCCCGTACAGACGGGGCATTTTCGTTCCTTTACGTGCGACTCCAGCTCCGGCAATCCGTCGCAGCCCCCACACCGGTAGCAGAGGTGCGGATCCCGCGACCAGTGCTTCCGGCTCGGTCCCTTCGGTTCGAGCGCATTGTGGCACTTTCGGCAGTCCACGCACTGCCCACAGATCCAGATCCCGGAAGGAGCTTTCGAGAGGGGCGGGTCCAACAAATCTAGGTTGAATCCGCGGTCACACATTTCACAGAACAGCATTTTTGTCTCGTCTTCGGGCGAATCTCCGGAGATCTCGCAGATCTTGCAATTCGGGCACCGCCAGGCGGCCACCGACGAGGCATCCATGCTGTGGATCGGGGCGTTGACACAGAACGAGTGAAAGCCTTCTCCGCAGTCCACACAAAAGATCATGGTATCGGATGCACCGCTGCTTCCGCACAAGAAGCAGGATTCCAGCCACGCCGCAAAGTACGCGTCTTTCGGTTTGTGTTTCACCACGTGGCAGGGCAGGCACGACGCAAGATCGGGGGGCTTGTCCCGAAGTGCCGGCAGCTCCACCGAGACAACCTTCGATCCGGCAACCAGGTCCTTTTTCTCGATCGTTTTGTCCTCCTGGACGCGGTCTTCCTCCGATTTTTTCGCTTCTCTCGCTACCTCGAAATTCTTGAGGATGTCTTTGTGGTACACACTCGGGGKGGCAGCCTTTCCCATGGAGGTAAAGACCCCCTCTATGCACGCATCGTAGAATCGCTTGGCCTCGATCCACACGGCCGTGTGGTACCGATTGAAGGTCAGGGCATTCAGAACCATCAGTTCGAACAATTCTCGTACCCAGGCATAGTTCTTGTATTCGTCTCGTTCGGCCTTGATCAGCATTGTTTGGAGATCCATGGGTTGTTTGATGACGTCGAGGTAGGTGGGAGCGACCTGGTCCGTGACCGGATCGGCAAAGATCAGCAGCTTGTCTTCTTTTTGCAGCCTGTATATTATTTCGAGGCAGCGCTCCCTGCAGCAGACCCGGCACAAAAACTCGGTGCTGTAAATGGGGTGGTCGCCGTTCGAGGTCAGGTCGTATTCCTCCTCGCTCAGCCCGGCACAACCGGCGTGGACCCAGAGAGAACAGCTGTCGCACGTCAGCATGTCCACCTCGGTGTACCCCCACTTGGAGGTTTCCGGATAGTACCAGGCCGGATTCACGGTGGCATCCTCCGGAAAGGGATCCTCGTTCGGGATGGTGGCCGGCGAGGTAAAGGAGTGAAAATCGGGTGCGGACGTCGGGTCCTCCATTTCCGTCTTTCGCTTGCGGCCCCGTTTTTTGGGGCGGTGCTCCTGCTGCCACCGGATTTGTCGCTGTACCTGTTGGAAGCGCTCGTCGTCCCAGGAGTGCGCGCAGTTCGGGCAAAACTGCTTCTCTTCGTAGTAGTGCGTGCACATCGAGCACAGGTTCAGGTCTTTCCCCTCGGGAAAGGACAGAGCCTTGGGCACGGGCTTGCGGTGGGAACCAAAGCTGAGATCCTTCTGGTAGCACCCAACGCAGGTGACACACTTGGAGCAGACAAAGGATTTGTCGTCCCCGTAGATGTATTTCTGGTAGGCTTCTTTCGTGAGAGGCGGATCGCAGCAGCCCAGGTGGTACGAGCTGTCGCACACCGTGCAGGTAATTTTTGTTTCGTTCTTCTTAAAGTGATCCGAACAACCGGAACAGCACTTGCTCAGCAAGGAATCGATGTGCTGGTGCTTGTCCTCTTCGGGATCGTCGGATTTCGGGCCGACGTGCTTGAAGCCCTTCACAAAGGGCAAGATGTCGTGGCTGGACAGGTCGTTCGGGTTGGACTTTTGCAGGATCCGCAGCTTGTGCTCTTTCGATTGAAGGTTGACCCACGACGAGTCGTATTTTTTCCTGACCTTGTCGGACATTTCGTAGGACACGAGCCATTTGTTGAGTGATTCGCTGTACTGCCGGACCCGACCCGCGACCGTATCCCCGTACGGATAATTGACGTCGTCCCTCCAGATTCGGATCCGGCTTCCCAGCAGCTGGTTCCCGCCTTTTTTGTAGGACATCTCCCACGCCTTTGTGGCCATGAATATCGCCGCGTCGTTGCGGCACTTCTGAATGGTTTGTTCCTCTTCCATGGCCAGGGCGATGGCATTCGAGTTTCGTTTCTTTTTGTTCTTCTGAATGACCGAGTCGATCTGCCCGTTCTCGAAGGGCCGCAGGCAGTCCGGGTGGTCGCGAAGGGTGGCAACCTCGTCGGATCCGAAAAATTCGACGTTGGTGTATCCACCCCGGGCGGGCTGAATGTCCGATTCCATCACCATGGCCGGCCACCAGGCGTACCCCTTGACGTGTGCCCACACGAGCCGCGTCGAGACCTGCACCCCCTCTTCCATCCGTAGGTAGAGCCAGATGCAGTTCTGCTCGTCGACCTTGTCTCCCGCCCTGGGTTTGTCGGTGTATTTGATCTTGTGCTTGTGGGTGCAGGGGTCGTATCGAATGATTCGGCCGAGTTTCCAGTCTCCGTTCTTGTCGTCCGAGATCCGGATCCGCCATCCGATCTTTTTGCAGGGCGGGCTCTGTGGATCCCAGTGGACCGTCGTCAGGTAGGACGCCCCGTAATCCAGGGACACTTCCGGATCGTTCGGCGCCTCCGTCTCGAGTTCCTTTTCTTCGTCGCTCTCGTTTCCGTTTTCTCCGTCGTTGTTGTCTTCGTCCTCGGTGTTGTTGATTGATCCCCTGCTGTCGGTACGGGCTCGCTTGGCCGACGACGGATTTCTCGCGCCCTTGTGCTTCTTGGGCTTTTGTTGTTTTTTCCTCGCTGGTTTCGCGGTGTCGTCGTCGTCGTCGCTGTCGGACTCGTTGGCGTCGTTGTCGTTGTCGTGTTCGTCGTCGTTTTCGTCGTCGTCGTTTCCCGCCCCGAGCGGCTGCGTCAGATCAAGCGAGATTTTGGGCTTTGGTTTCGGTTTGCGGCCTCGCTTTTTTGGGGTTTGCGATTTGCTGCCCTTGGGCGGCCTTCCCCGCTTGCGCTTGGGCAGCGGCTTGGTAATGACGGTGCCGGGTGGCAGCATCCCCAGTTCCATCGAGATCGCCAGGGCCTTGGGAATGCTGTCGCAGGAACGGTTGTTGGGGGCGATCCATTTGCGGCGTTTTCGTTTCTTTCGGGCGGGGATCGATCGGCATCGGCATCGGCATCGGCATCGGCATCGGCATCGGTGCGGGTGAAAATCGTCCGGCATTGAAAACGCGAACCGAAAAAAAGGCAATCGCGGGCGTTCGGAACAAACGGCATAAACAAAGTCAGCGACGGCGTCGATCCACGAAAAACAAAATGTTGGTGTCAATGCAAATGCAAATGCAAGTGCCCATGCAAGTGCCCATGCAAGTGCCCATGCCAACGACTTACGTCGAGTTCGACCCTCCAACCATCGGGAAGCCCGCGGCCCTTGGCTTCCGCCAGAGCCGCCGCCTGTTCCTGCGGCGTCATGACCCATCCTCTGGTGCTCATGGTTGCGTCGTGCCTCGTCGTTCTGGGGGGTGGATTGGATGACGAACGTCCCGATAGCGAGCGGTGCCGGTGGCTCTTTCCTCGCGGGTTGCTTGCTCGTCGTCGTCGGAATCACGGGGAGTGTCAAAGAAGTGCTTTCGGTGCGTCCGGGAGGATACGGACGGCGATTCTTCAAACATGCTATTTGTTGTGCAAAACACACGCACAAAATAGGCGAGTACGAAGTTTCCGTACGGTACCGCGACGACGGGTACGACGTCGTACTCGCATGCACGCACGGCATCGGCAAGAACGAACATTATATTACAGTCGTCCTTTGCTTGCCGCAGTCGGATACGGTACCGTACGTACAATACCGTACGGTACGGTACGGTACGGTACTGTGCGACGGAACAGAAGGGCCTTTCCACGAATTCATTCGGACGAGCGAACGAACCCTTGCTGGAGACATTTCACTCCGGGGTGCTGGCTCGGGGCGGGCGCAGCTACAATGTCATAATATGATCGTGCAGTACAGTACTGCAGACGTACGGTACGTCACCGTAAGCTTGGGACTGTAATTAATAAAAGTACGTACCCCGCATTCCATGTTCCATGCCTTCAGACGTGCATCCATAATTTGAACGGAAAAAAACTTCCGCCACAAAAAATCAAGAGCCGATCGGAACAGAAGATGACGGAACAAAAAATGCTTCTGTAGGTAACTCGTACGGTACATACGTACTCGTAGTCAATTCAATTCTAGTGGATGTTTGAACAGGAACTCAGGATTTTGGATTTTATGTCATGGACGGACACCATACATTATCGTACGGTACTGTACGGTACGTATGTACGGGTACGACTTCTCTAGTGACGGCTGGATGGTGTCACACGAACGACACCCTGATTGGTTGAAAACAATGGAGCACACCGTGAGCTACTCGCTACGTCCCGTAATAGGTGTCTACAATATTGTAACCATTGCACATCAAAATCTGATCTCGACAACCACGATCCTCCCTCGCAGTCCCGGACCGGAACCTCGTCTTCGTCGGCATCTTCATCGGCATCGTTGGCAAACCAAGGGAGCGCGTGTTCTCCTACTGGTGCCGGATGGCATCCGGAGGACTGCTAGCGCCACCGGGCCGTCTGCACCACTCCCACAATCCACCCCAAACTGTATATTTCTGGCGGGGTTTGTCGTCTCCGTTTCCCTCCTTGTTGGCTGGCTTGGGCTCACAGATGCAAGGCCTTGTTGGACCAGTGTCGTAACACACACAGAGCATTGGGTCTGGCATTCACTAGGATCAATTTGGGTCGCTACTCGTAGTCGCACCGAAAAAGGATAAGCATCTCAGGCGACAACACTCTTGCCAGCCGTTTGCAGCTCCTCGCCAGACACATCTGATGCTAAATAACACACGCAACAAGCAGTTCGCACAGTCAATGTACTCAGGGTGCTCTCTGAGCGTTCCGACCGACCACAAAACAGAGATAAATGCGTTCGAAGAAGGAAAATATTTGGACAAAAATTTCGGCCACGATGGCATTGGCGTCTGTCGTAGGCACTGCAAAAGTTCAAAACAACGTACGCATAGAAAGTAAAATCCAGTCGATGCACCAACAGCCTTTCATCGCCTGCGATAATATCGCTATTGAATAATGATTACGGGTACACTTTGTCAGTAAGCGCCTCTCTGGCGTGCCGTAACTGTCTAATTCGAGGAAGAAGGTAAAGAGGAACCTTGCGGGTTCATAACCCAGCTATCGACTATCCGTGACCTCCTGTATTGCGTCCCTCAAAAACTCAACGACTTCGAAAATGCTGGGGCGGTCTTCTGGGCGGAATGCAAAACACCGATCAATGATCTCCACAAGTTTTGCATCCGCCAGGCTTTTTTCTGTGTATCTTGGGTCGATGTAGGGTTTTTCGCCCTTCTTCACGCGTTTTTGAACTTCGCTATAGTCGTCCTCGTCGTAAAAGACCCACAACCCAGTCAACAAGGAGTACATGTTGTTGCCAAACGAATACACATCGACTTGTTCGTTCAGCTCGCGTTCGAAGTATTCTTCGGGGGACCGCCACTGGAAACGTGGACCGATTCGTACAACAAATTTTGTAAGGAATAAGAACCTAGTAAGAGACAGAGCTGTGATGCGGGACTCTTCTTTCCATATGATGCAACATTTGCCTCAATTCGACACTAGTATAAGACACAAAATTGGAGCACTTACGTTTCCAGCCCCATAACCTTCGCCATATTTACAATAGTCCCCATTTTTGTCGTCCCAAAGCATGAACTCAGCTCTATTGAAATCATTTAGCTTCAATGTTGTTTTGTCCTCGTTAAAGAGAAATTGCGATAATTGGCTGCACGATACAAAAGTGCGTTTCGTTATAGTTTGTTGGAGTTGGTGAGTTCGGTTGGTTTTCACAAAATCCCGTTCGTTTTGAAATACCCAACCACGCAATCGATCACAATACGATACTTACACATCTTGGTGAACTATTGCACCCAGTGGATCTCCGTGTAGGTCTGCGAGTCCCTCGGCCATTTGCAAAGAGAGCAGCAGTTTTCGTTCACTTGGAATCTCATTCCAAATCTTTAGATCTTCGTCTTCTAGTTCATCTCGTTCTTCCTTGTCTAGGATATAGCCGTCGGTGATTACTGCCTCCTCCTCGATGTTGCCGTGTGGAAAGAATTCCGATAGGATGGAGAGCCCACAAAAACCGTATATGTCATAGATTCTTGGACTTGCAGTCAGCCGTTCTGCAACCATGGCATCCATTCGTATAAACTCAAAGTCTATTGCTTGGTAATTATTTCCTGAATACATGTCCTTGATGACAAGAGATTCTTGCTGTTGCAGAAATGAATGCTCAAGGCTAAATACTTGGCGATAAGAACCAGCACTATCAACAAGGAGCAGCAAGAGGAGAAGCTTGTGAGACACGGTTTCTAACGTGTTCGATCGTGACCAAACCAATCCATATCACGATCGCCCCTTTTATCCACGCAGAGGTACTCACTCCAAATATTTAACTTTGTTATCGAGGAATTCTGTCTCGAAAATAGTGTTGCAATTTTGCATGTTGCGTCTATGGAGGCTCGTCCTACGACAGAACGAGCCTTCTCGCACATTCTCGTTCATCGTCCCTTCGGTCCCTCTCAGATAATCGTCATCAAAAGCGTAATATGCATCGTTTCCGTCATCGTCCCGATCCTTGCCCGGGGGTCGAAAATCCGATTGTAGAAGATAATCCATGTCTGATATCCGCCTTCTTCGTCCCATTGCGTCGATCTCTAGATCTCCGTAATCTCTATATCCCGGATCAACTGGGTCCAGGCCAAGCTCTATAAAAGTGTCTGAAAACTTTTTTGGGAATAATATCTGGATGTCCAATTCCATTTGGACGTTTGCTCGCTTTCGGAGACCGCTTGTTTCTGGCATACTGCGATCATTGCCATACAATACCAAAAAAACTACGGCAGTACAGAGGAGAACTGACAATGCTTGTATGGTGGTAGAGTGGGTAGCCGCTGTGCAAACGCGTGGAATGCAAACCCGATTCACAAACGAATATCTCCGCTTTGTTCGTTTTATCCTTCTTCTTCTTCTTCTCCTCGCAGGCATCGCAATATTGGATTCATCGAATCCATTTACTGATTCACCATGGTCACCGTTCGCATTGAATCTTGAAGGATTGAGAACGTACTGGTTGCTTTTTCCGGATGCTCCTGTCCTCCTTTTCAGTCTCTCGTCCCCCGTCATACTCTCTGTTAACAATGTCCTTCGGTTTGGAATAGACGTTGTACTGGTCAAGCAAAAGCATAATCTGTGAAATGCCCTTCGACTAAAGGTTTCGGAAATCGATAGCAGTTTGGAGCGCTTTCTACAATTGTTGGCAATGTTTTCCTCGAATATGAGGAATGTTTCCCATCATCCCTTCCCGGATTCTGTTTTCTTATTGAATGACCGATCGGTGCATGTACTCGTACTCGTTTCAAGACTCTTTGAAGGCACGATTTCGCTCAACTCACCTACAACAACGGCATCATGGAAATAGGCACTCGTGTCCAATTATGCACACTTATCAATTTATTACTTATTTACTGACGTTGTACTTGACCGTATGTTCGTCTGAGGTCGCGTCAAAAATATTCATTACTCAATTATAGCCCAATTCACACTTTCAAACAAAAAGCACGAGTACCAGTTAATTCGATATAAAGTGCGTTAACCGTAAAAAGCCTACCACGCCCTACATAGAAAAAAGGCATTCTACTCAAACGCCAAAATTATTACTAGTAAAATCACGGTTAATTTTGAAGCCCAATATTTAGTACTGATCCTACATAGATCTAYGAGTTTTYGGTCACTTTTTGACCACAAACAGTGTTATTGAGGCMATTAAAAGTGCTCAAGAACTGGCTCAAATGAGATCCCCTTTGGGGATATGCTCGGTCATAGTGTTAAGAAGAGTGCTGTGTGTCATTGTTACATGATTAAGGGCCAAGGGTGACCCAGTTCTCCATTAACAGCAGGTATGGCCAAATTTGGCCATTGGAGACCGGCTACTGGTTAGAAAATAGGCCAGAGCTCTATCAAAAAACAACTTTAGACCACCGGACTAAGCGCCCAGACCAAGATGATACAATTACTTAAAGATCTAGGTCATTGGGATGCTTAAGGATTCCATGTAGGCTAAGGACTAGTCTGCCAAAGTTACAGGTGGTGAGGGGTCAAAAATCGTTAATTTTAGGGGTAATTTTATTGCGAATTAACTGTTAGTCGCACATTCAACGGTATGAAATGAAGTTGTGGAGTACTGAGGGGTCATAATTTGGTGGGGTGCGCGAAATCTGTTCTTGCACTAATAAGTTATTATTGAAAAAAAAAAACAATTTGGAATCGGAACTACGTACGCGTATCAAATCAGTTTCGGAACTCTTTCTAGAGAGATCAATATGGATGCCTGAAGAAGTTTGGAAGCATAACAGTTAGAATTAACTTTTACTGACAGTTTTCAGTCTGTCCATCTCATCGTAGATTTCTTCTAGGGCTTGCCACAAGATATCAACAACTTCAAATATGCTTGGTCGATCTTCTGGATAGTATTCATGACATTTGTCAATGACTTCTACAAGCTTTGCCTCTGCCAGACTTCTCTCTTCGTATCTTGGGTCAATGTAGGGCCTCTCACCAGCCCTCACATGATCTTGCACTTCATCATAACTATCAGCTTCCTCAAAAGCCATCAAACCAGTTAGCAAACCATACATGTTGTTGCCTAGAGAGTAGACATCAACCTTTTCAGTAAGATACTCGTCGTAGTATTCTTCGGGCGATCTCCACTGAAATGACAGAAAGAAAGAAGAGGTCCCAGTGAGTAATATTCTTTGGTTGAAAAAGGACTGAAATTTTCAAAAAAACTTACATTGCCCGCGCCAAAACCTTCCCTATAAGGGCAGTACTGTTCTTCATAGTCATCCCATAGCATGAACTCAGCTCTGGCGATTGTTCAGAAAAAAGAGACGGCACACAAATATTTTGAGGAAGTAGAATCCGGCAATGCAAAAGCACTGTCGAGAGACTCACCTGTTAAAGTCGTTCAAGACCACACCTGTCTTGTCGGCATTTAAGAAAAATTGATCCAATTTCTGCAAGTATTTTTTGCTTGTCGTTAGTTGGTGTTTCGAAGAATTCAATTGGAAAAAACGAAATCACAAAGAGAAGGCAAAACTCGAAATTCCCGTTTGAAATTCATTTATACGTACAACATCTTGATGAACAATCACGCCTCCCGTGTATCCGTGTAGATCTGCTAAAGCGTCCGCCATATGGGCGGCTAATTCTAATTTTGCAAGTCCAGACAAATTGTTGTAGCAAATCAAAGGACCCTCCGTGTCGTCGTTTTGGTCCATAAACTGCCGCTTGCCATGATCATCTCGGAGAGTGAAGGCTTCAATATGACCATGAGGGAAGAATTCTGACATGATTCCAACTCCACATGTGCCATAAATGTTATATATGCGTTTACTCGATGTCAAACGTTCGGCAACTATGGAATCCATCCGCGTGTATTCATAAACATCGTAGAGAAAATCGTAGCTGAATTCACAATGTGCTGGTGAGTTGAAATATTTCGGTTGGATTGCTTTCAAAGACTGAAGTTAGAATGAATAGATCGTACCTAAAGTGTATATCTTTCACAACGAAAGTCTCTTGCTCCTGCCCGAAGGATTTTTTAAGCACCATTGCTTGTCGGTATGTCCCAGCTCTAATCACACGAAAGAATTAGCACAAAGGAAATAAACAGTAGCCAATCAAATTAGAGGGATGCCTTATGTTTTGCAAAATCATGGAACTGGATGGTTGAATTTGACAAATTTCTGTACGCACCCAATAATTGTCCCTTGTGATTCCATAAGAGGTGTTTCGTGAAACGAATTACAATTCGGAAAATAGAGACGGTGTTCACTAATTCTTCGACAATTGAACCCATCCACTTCCGAAGCCGAGCCATCGTCATCGTAATCTTCAATGAATGGGTTCCTCGTATAATCATCATCGTAAGCGTAATAATTATCTTGATCATCATCTCTTTCCACAGTACGATAATCTCTGTAATCTGACAACATATCCAAAGGGTCGTATTTGATTTGGCGCGTCGTGCTCGAACCCGTGCTTTTAGTGTTCGAAAAATTCAATTGCAACCCCCCGAAATCTGGCAGTATATCCTCTTCGATTATTTCTTCGTCAAACTTTCTCCATACTCTAAAAGTATCATCAAAAGATTCTACGAAGTACTTGGATTCCGTTTCATGAAAGTCGACGTGAAGGGGTTCTTTGTGCTTGGTAGAGGTCACGATCGATGTTCCATCACTTTCGCCGTGATTACTTTTCTGGTCAAAATATGACGACGACGTATCTATCATATTCCCGAACGCTGTGGTGGAGCCATTCTTTCCTTGGTGTGCTAACATAAACATGAAGCAAGCGATGACAATGAACACGGCTCCAATGCTGGAAAGAACTAGAAACAGGGCACTTTCTCGATCACGATAGATGTGAGCATAGATGCGTCTTCTTGTTTTGTCATTTGTCGCACCACATTCCGACTCTTGAAGTTCGTTCTTTTTATCAGCAAGATCATTGTGTCGAGGGTGATGTACTTTTCCATGAGTCGTTCGCTCGGTCTCGAATGTTGTTGTCTCGCCGGTGTTTCTTCTCCTTGTAGCAACTGCCCTTCGCGTGAGTTTGTTCTGCGGGCTCATCGGTTGCGTGGGATTCTCTGCCTAGAATGATAGGAAGCTGTATTAAGATCACTTCAGGTCACCAGTTGGAGGTCCACATTGGACCGAAACGTAGAAAACCGTCAAATTAAGCTCGTCATTTTTTGTGATTATTTTTTTCCCTTCCATCCATCGTGATTTCTACAATAAGTTCTGATTTTCATTTTTCTGAGGATATTCAGCTCCGGGTTACCATTTGACCTTACAGGTACGTATCATATGTAATTAACATACAGTACTTTCCGTACTTCGTACCTCCAATTTGTTATATGGTACCATGCGTACATATCGTATCGTATTCCATGTTCCAACTGACTTGAATCAATTATCAAGTGAGATATTTTATGACGAACGTGAAATTCTTACGTACCTTGCTGTAGAGTATGGACTTACAATGGGTGATTCCCGATAACATATTTTCCGATATGTTTTCGGGAATCACTTTCAGTGGTACAAAAGACACAGACTGCCAGCTCAACTTACATATTTTCCCCC